TATCCTGCCACTTTACTGAATTCCTGTATGAGTTCTAGCAGTTTTGAGGTGGAGTCTTTGGGGTTTTCCACACAAAGTGTCATATCACCTGCAAAGAGTGAGAGTTTGACTTCTTCTTTGCCCATTTGGATGCCTTTTATTTCTTTTTGTTGTCTGATTGCTGTGGCTAGGACTTCTAATACTATGTTGAATAGCAGTGGTGATAGTGGACATCCCACTCAGGGGTTTCTTAACCCTGAATCATATCATCTTCCCTGACTCTGTGCTATATAATGCTGGTCAAGTTTCCTACTCTCTCTAGGCTTCCGTTCCTTACCCGTGACATAAAGGCCCCAGATCGAATCTGTCTCATAGCTCTGCTGGTCTCTGGACTCACTATGTTGGAAATTGTCCTGAGTTGGTGATTTTCTTGGTTCTCAGGGCTCCTGACACCCAGGAAGTGTTCTCCCACGGGGCTGGCCCTGTCCCAATGAGTCTAAGGGAAGTGATCAAAGCTGCACTGCCTGCTGACCCCACACGGAGGATTTCAGTTTCTGGAACCACAAGTCAGGGCCTGTAGGTCTGCTCCTGGCTTGTACATCAAGACCAGCACCCAGAAGCTCCAATGGGAGAGGCCTGGGATCCTGAAATATCTCCGAGAAGTTTACTTATAACGCCTAGGGCACATCTAACAAGTTCATCTTGTGGCATGGGGCAATCAATATGTGCAAAGGGAGAACTGTCCCAGAGAAGTCTTTGCCAAGACAAGGGTCAGGCCAGTGAGCAAACCTAGAAACCCACCCCCCCGCCGGCCGTAACAAGTGTAAGAACAATACGGGAGACAGAGGAGCCCTCCATAGATTGCAGACATCTTCCTATAGCAGAGGAAGAGGCTTCATGCTTTAAGAAAGAGGTCTGAACTGAAACTAGGTGAAGGTCAGACTCCTCGCTCTGCCACTAGCTGGCAGTGGGACCCAAGGTAAGTCACTTACACACTGTGGTCACATTCCAGGGGGGAGTATAGCCATAGGCAAGTAATTATAACAAAATTTGATAAGCATCTGGCAAGGGTGGCAGAGCTCAATAATGGAGATTCTCAGAGCAGGACAGCCATTGTAGCAGGGAACAAGAAGGAACCCGGAGTTTTGAGGGAGACTCAAGTCCCCAGGGCAGGAAGTAGGGAGTAAGAGGGAAGCTGAGTCCTAGCCCTAGAGAATCCAAGGCAAGTCATTAAGGACGACCTTGAGGCTCATTACAACAAGACTAGGTGCAAAAGGAAGCCTGTTCCTCAGAAGGATTATACCAAGCAGCACAGGTGGATCACCCAGAAGTCTTATTCTAATTCAAGTGCTCAGAGCTCATGCCCAGAAGTTCTGATTCTGCTGGTCTGAGGTGGAGGCTGGGCACTGATATTTCTTCAAAAGCTCCCCAGGATTTCTAAATCTCAGCTGGGGCTGATAACTTCTGCAATAAGCAGAGATCTCTGAGAGACAGAACCTGCCCCTTTAGTGCCCACTGGATCCCAGTACCCAAATCAGGGCTTGCCAGACAGAAGGTGTTCAGGACACATGGATAAAAGGATAGATAAAGGGATGAGCACTGTGTGAATCAAGCAAAGGAAGTCACCAACCACAGGTACTAGAATTGCACAAGGGCAAGGGTAAGACCGGCCTTAGGCTGAGCCCCCTGGATGACTGACCAAGGGCTGCCCGCATCCTTTCTGGCCATGGACATGATCGGCCCAGACCTTGAAACTGGAGCTAGATAAAGCCTTATGAGGGAGCCCCAGAAAGGGGAGACAGGGAGTGGAGATAGGGGGTGTCCAAGAGCCCATTACATTTCAGGGATGCTGTGGTGAATCTCAAGCACACATTAATGACTGCTAAGCCTGATTGAAGATATCCCGTCTTTATTAAAGTATCCCATCTTTATATAAGTGGCCCTCCTCCCTCCACTACTACAGATGGTGGTGACTTTCCATTAAAAAGGGGAGGAGGAGTCAAGAAGGAAGGAGGAGGGAAGTGGGAGGAGTCAGGTTATTAACAGAGGTGAGGTGAATGAGGATTCTTGAAAGTGCAGGGTGGCATCCCACCTCCTGCCTTCTGCTTCCCCCCCATACCCGACCCATACTCCTACTATCAGAAAATCTTTCTTCCCACCCCAAACCAGACCGCATGCCATTTTAAAGTGATGTAAGGTTCTCCCACATATCTATGCACTTCTCTATGGGCAAAACACTTCACATCTTTAATGCTTCCTCTCTTGCTAATGACACCCCATCCCTGTGGTTCTAGGTGGACAGCTGATGACTGGTGAGAGGGCCTATGCATGGCCAATGTGGGAAAGCCTCTCAAGTAGGGTTTCAGCAAAGAGCCCAGGAGGCCAGGCCCCTGCCCCTGCGTCGTGACCATCAGAACTGCTAAGAATCAGGCAGGCTGGGTCCCTGAACTCTGCAGACTCTTCAGTATAATGGCAAGTCATATATTTGTTCCGTAGGGATTTTGTGCTTTGCATCTAACACTCTACTTCTAAACCTCCCCTAAATTCTCTGTCTGTTCATATGCAATGGGTGGGAAGCCTAGCTCCATGGGACTCTGCCCCAGGCACCATCTCTGAGCCAGGCAGGCCTCAGAATCCACCCTGAGTGGAGGGAAGCTGGAAGCTGGGGTTCTGGGGAACAGAAGCAAGGCACCCTGTGTACCCGGCAGCAAAGGGACAGCCAAGCGCCTCCACCTCTCTTTCTTCAAAAGGAACTTCTGCTATGTGCACGGAGGCAGAGCTGTGGATGAGGCTTCTACACTAGGCACAGGCTAATTTAATGCTGCAGCCCCAGATGTGGGAGCTAATGAGGGGGAGGGGTGAGGGGTTAACAAGAAAGCAAGAATGAGCTCATCACTGTGGAAAGGCCTTTTGAGATCATCAAGTCCTGTCATTTTAAAGCTTTTTTTTTTTTTTTTTAAGCTGTTGAACCTATTTTCATCCACAACTCTTAAACGAAACTCCAAGTTGGAACTCTTCTGATTAAGGCAAGAGGAAGAAGTAGGAGCTGGGAACGGGCAGTTTGACCAGGATGGGAAACCTACTCATTCAGCCTACCTTCCAAATCCAAAAGTCCCTGAGGGACCTATGCAGAACTTTGGGGCCCTGGGTTTCACTTTGAAAAACCAACAATCCAGGCCAAACCCTTAATGTTATAGATAGTAAAGATGGGTGGGTGGTTTGTCCAGGGTCCCCATGGAGTCAGTAGCGGCACCAGCACTAGAATTTAACCCCACTCCCCGCCCAGGTCGCTCTTTGCCCCTCCCTCCAGCTGGCTGACCCCGACAGGCCTTGGGCCCCTTGAGCCCATCGAGAGAATCAGACAGAGCTGCGGAAGGAGAACTGCAGGTAGATGATCAGCAGCAAGACCGTGGCCCAAAACAAGCACCAGGGGATAGAGCAGAAGTTGCAGCCAGAACCCTCCTCGGCCTGCGGCTTGGTGGGGCTGGGCGCCCGGGAGAAGGTGTAGGTGGTCGCCTCCTCCTCCAGCAGCTTCTCGCTGGGCTTCCAGTGCACGATGCCCTCCTGGCAGGCCTCGCAGAACTCGCCGCGGTGCCGCCGGGTGTCCTGGCGGCTGGCCACGTGGATGCGGTACTGGCCGCCGCGCTCCCCGTAGCACTGCTCCCGCAGGCTGGTGATGAGGTTGTCCACCAGGCTCTCGATGTTCTCCTCCAGCATGCTCGACTCATCCAGCCGCGCCGTGCCGCACTCGTAGCACAGCTGCTTGAAGACGCGCATGCGCACCGAGCCCGCCCGCTGGGCGCGGTCCAGGTGCATGTGGAAGAGGATGACCACGTGGGGCGACTGCCAGGTGTGCCAGCACCAGGAGCAGTGGAACCTGCGGGGAGGGGTTGAGGCAAGAGGAAAGGACCGAGGGGAGATGGTGGGAAACAACCCCCCAAAGGCAGGGTGTTTATAGGTGTTGTTAGCTTTCCCGGGGCATCTGTCCGGTCTGCCCCTTCGAGGGCGCCCTTAGGACCAGAGCAGGCTCGTCAAGATGCACCTGGCACCCACCTCACCTGTGCCCTGCAGAGGCCTCAGCTTCCTCCATCCCAGTGCCCTCAGGCCATGCCCTTGGGGCTTTGGCTCTGGACATATTTCCTCATCTGCAAAATGTTCAGGGTGCACTAGATGAGTCCTTCCTGCTCAGGCCTCCTTGAAGTCTCATAGAGGGGATGGCCCGAACATTTGGGAAATGTGCCACCCACCCCACATTCTTACCTGTTAACACTGAGTGTGAACAGGGTAGACCCAAATCAGGAGGAAAATGACACCATGACTACTTCTCAGCCTCCAAATCAGTGCCTGGGTTAATGCATCCCAAGGCCTGGACTTGGTGGCAGTCTCTGCCCAGAGTTAGGTGACTGAGGCCAGCTGGTGATCACAGGTCACTGACCGAGGTTAGAGATGCCACAAGGCTTCCAGGTCTCCAAGAAGTTCCTGGGCCCTGCCAGCAAATGTCCAGCTCTTGGTAACCCTCCCATCAGCCAGTTTAGGAGCTCCATGTTCTCATTTTCTTCTCTTTCGCTTACATCCTTTGGGGACTATTTTCCCTCTCTGAGATTGAACTATAAAACTAGGATTGGAAAATGTCAGAACTGGAGGAACCTTCGAAGTCACCCAATTAACCTTTTGCTTTACTCTCAGGCACAGAGAATAAGAAAATGATCCATGTACACACAGCTAGAGTTCAGAGCCTGTACCCAGCACAAAACAGGTGTCCAATAGATGTTGAATTGAATTGAATGCACCGTGCCAGGGCAGGGAGGAAGGCCTTGCTACTGACCGCCACCTAACAGACCCACAGACAAGAGTGCTGGAAAGTCATCTCAGATATTACTGTACATCCCAAATCACTGAGAGACCTTGGTGAAATGTGCATTCTGATTCAGTAGGTCTAGAATGGGGCTGGAGATTCTGCATCTTTAACAAATTCTAGGTGATGCTGATGCTGCTGGTCCATGCCCCACAAGGCAAGGATCTAGACTAACCCCTCCTTTTACAAGTGGGGAAAGGGAGGTCCAAGAAGGAAACAGAATTGCTCAAGGGCCTTGGAGCTAATAGTAGAGCCAATTTCTAGCACACCTCCTGTGTTTAGTATTTTATATTAAGTCAGGCTGAATTAAATAGATTGAAATTGAACTGTCCCAGGACCAGAGCACAGAAATCGATCCCCAGAGACCTTGAGCCTCCTTTTCTTGGTTTTCAACCATTTTACATCATTAAAATCTGAAAAGATGTAAAATGTCAGAGTTTACAACTAATAAGTATATCCCACCTCTTTGTCAGAAGCAGAAACTATGACTCAGAGAGGGAGAGTTACCGAGGAGTTCAGTGGAAGAGCTGAAATCAAACTCAGGTGTCCTACCTCCCAGTAAGGGACTCTTTCTCTGCTTCTCAGTCTACACCGGCCCAACCGTGAGACTGACCCTAAGTCCCTGGGTCCTCCGTATCTCTGTCTCTTCTTGGAAGGTGCCCCAGGGTTGCCTGCAGGGCCCCTACTCACTGGCTACTTACCTGCCGGAGGCATGCAATTCCAGGTACTGCTTCCAGCCCGGGGCCAGCACATTGTGCTTGAGGTTGGGATCTATGATGAGGTCCCAGCTGTCGGCCGGCTTGGCCTCCTCCATCTTCTCATAGAAGACTTTCTTCCATTCACCTGTGGTCACGCTTTTACACATGGTCTCGTCAGTGGCGAGAGAGGGCAAGCTCCACCTGAGCGAGAACGAGGAGAGAGAGGGCAGGTGCAGGGCAGGGCAGCGCAGTCTCCACGGTCTAAAAATCCTCATCGACAGGACCAGGAGGAAGCAGGACCCAGCTCCCTCCTTTGTCCGCAGTGGAACCTGTTTCCACAGCAACCAGGCAGGGCGCCAAGAGACAGAGAGTGAGGAAGAGGGAATCTCCAAAGGGGTGTTTCCAGGCCCTGAACTGAGGCCGTGGAGGCAGGGTTTGTGGCTAAGTGACCTGAGACAGGTGGGGGGGCTTGGAAAAAGGCTGAACTTCAGACCATCTTACTCTGGCTTGTGAAGGGCGCACAGAGGGAGGACCTGGGAACTGGCTCAGCTTCACCTTGCTGCCCCTGGAGGCATCATCAGCATCTGGCTGCTATGGTAACCATGATGCCTGAGGGAGCCAAAGAGACATAAGGGATGGGAAGATGTGGGCCTCTTAATAGATGCAGCAATAATAGTAAACTCTCTGCACTCCCACCCTTTTGTGACTGGCACTGAGCCACTTACAAAAACTATTGGAAGTCTCTGGACCCACAATTATTATTGTCACTATTCAAATCAGGAGACAGGGACTCATCTATCTTATACATGGCAGAGCTCATATCTGAATCCAAGCTATTGAGCCCATAATAATTCATTAAGACATTCATTTCAAACATACGCATGTGCCAGGCTCAATGCCGGGTGGTTGTAAGCGGGTATGTGCCCAATAATGCGGGGGGATCTGTGTCCCAGAATGCAACAGGATCTGTACTTTGACAACCTTGGACAGGAGCAGCCACCTGTGCACAGGGGTGGGGGCCATTGCATCAGCCTGGCAGGAGCAGAAACGATGATTTTCAACTTGGTTATAGAAGAGGAGGGCGGTGTCCATGGGGAAAACAGACTGTATTCTAGGTGCCTCTTCTGCTACTCTTTAACAAATTATTTTTCCTTTATGAAAGTCATACAGGTCTGGAGCTCCTGGGTGGCTCAGTCGCTCAAGCGTCCACCTTGGGCTCAGGTCGTGATCCCAGGGTCCTGGGATCGAGCCCCACATCGGGCTCCCTGCTCAGTGGGAAGCCTGCTTCTCCCTCACTTTCTGCCCCCCCCACTTGAGCTCTCTCTCGCTACCTCTCTCTCTCTCAAGTAAATAAATAAAATCTTCAAAAAAAAAGTTATAGATGTTTATTTAGAAAAACTGGAAAATACAGATAAAATAAAGCAAAAGTAATACTCTTCCTAATACCCATGTTCAAAATAATCATTAATATTATAACACACTCTGACTGCCATTTATCTGTACATGTGTGTGTATGTGTGTATACACACATATATATACATATATAATATATATATACACATATACATACACACCCCACTGTGATCTGTTTTTTAAATAACAATATATCGTGAATATTTTTCTAAGAAATTAATATTATTCCATCTTATAGGCTGCCTATATTCTGTGATCTGGTTGGGCATAATTTATTTAGCTAATCCCCAGTTTGGGGTACTAAAGTTTTTTTTCAGTCTTTTATAATTTCACTCTTGCTACCTATTTGTATAAAATTTACTGATGAAGCTCATGGTCCTGCACTCTAGGTATCAGAGACGATGCCCCCTGCATTCAAAAAACACGTCTCTTGACCCTACTCTCTGCAGAAGCTTGCTGCGGCTAGAAGAATGTGAGCGAGCTCTTCAAACAGTGTGATTTACAGGCAGCTTGCGGATCCTGAAGTTTACAGATGAAAAAGCAAGACTAAATCACCTATTTGGTACTGGAGACCATCTTCCTCCTCCTGCTTCTGCATGAATGCTTGATGCCTTGACATATATTTTGGCCTCAGTTTGTTCATCTTGACAATGGGATAATAAGGCAGCAATATCTGTAGTGATTAAAAGCAAGGGCTCTGAAATCACTTGCTTGGATTTTTGTTCTTATTTATTTGTTTTTATAATTCTCTTATATTCTCATAGGTAGCTATTCTAATATATTTAATGTGTATCGTTTCATTCTAGCAAAACATGTATTGGTATTTTATGTGGATATATTTTTAATTTGCATAGAAACAGCAATCGCCAGATAACACTTACTAGGTATCAGGCAGTATGCTAAGTGCTTTATACCTATTACTTTATTTCATCTTAGTAACAACCTCTATACATAGGTCACAGCAGCCCCAGCTGCATTTTGCAAATATGTAAGCTACAACAGAGAGGTTAGATAACTTGCCCCAAATTCAACAGCTAATAATTAGTGGAACTGGGATTTGAGCCCATATGACATCTCCAAAGCCCCAGTTTTGATCAGCTTTGCCCGGCATGGAATCTAGAACAAAATATTTGCTAAATAAATGTGTCTTTCTACTCTCTCATCACTCGATCTGGCCATTCCAGACTCAGAATTGGAGCCCATATCCTTCTAGTAGATGGTTCGCTGGGCCCTACTGAGGCCACAACCCCAACATGAGTATGAGTGAGGCGTATTTGACCTGCTAAGCTCCCTGTTACTACTGTAGGTGCTATTCTGCTGGTGTCCACAGACCCCTGATGCCCAGTGTAAATATTTTGTTTTGTTTTTTTTTTTAAAGCTGGAAGAGAAAGTCATCTTGAAATTGTACCAAAGAAAATACAGTACATAGAGCCATCTGTGGGTATACCATTCCCATGAAGCCATGATCATTTGACGACAGGCACCCAGGTTCCATGGAAAGAGCGCTGAACTGGAAATCGGGAGATAGAAGTAAATATCCCAGCTCTGCTCCTGGCTGGCTTTGTTTCCTTGGACAAGTCACTTCTCTTGGCCTCAGTTTGTCCATTCGTTCAATGGAGCATTAGGGTATATGGCAACACTAAGGTCCCCTGCGACTATAGCCATTCATGGTTCCAAAGAGCTTTATACTTAGAAATCTGAATCCTTGGGGGCACCTGGGTGGCTCAGATGGTTAAGCGTCTGCCTTCGGCTCAGGTCATGATCCCAGGGTCCTGGGATCGAGTCCCACATCGGGCTGCCGGCTCAGCAGGGAGCCTGCTTCTCCCTCTGACCCTCTCCCCTCTCATGCTGTTTCTCTCTCGCTCGCTCTCTAAAAAATAAATAAAAATCTTTAAAAAAAAAATTCTGAATCCTTGGGAGGTGAGATAGAAGCCACTGGATGGAGGGGGGAGGCATTGTGGGTAGCACCTGGAGTCAGGGTCTGTCTCCTTCGGGGCCGCTCCACAGTTGAAGGGCTCTGGGGAGGGGTCACTGCAGTAGTTTTGTACTGGACACAGTAAGAAGGGCAGAAATTAAATCAGAGCCACTGAATGTTAACACTGGAAAGGATTTTTGAGTTTATTAAGCTTTATCCTTCAGGTCAGTATTCTTGCCTCTGAATTAAGGCAATTGATGCCCAGAGAAGTAAATGGACTTAACCAGCCTCCGAGGTGTGTTGGGAGCTACCTCAGAAAGTGTGTGAAGCTGAGAATAGCATATAAACTTTGCCCTGGAGTCAAAGCATATCACCCAATACCAGGAACGAATTCTCTATTGGTATTTTGCAGCTGTTGCTACAATAAACACTATGATGAAAAACAAGAACACAGAAGGTAAGAATCACCAGAGTTGTCTGTGTGTGTGTGTGTGTGTGCACACAGCCATGTGTGTATGTAACCAGCTGATGCAATCCCCATTGGCACAAATTAAGTTCAATTTAGAACTTGAGCTTGCTATGCAGAGGCCAATGCGATACATCCTTCTGTATAGCAGAATGTTATCTCTATTAAAATAATATTTCTATCAAGACAAGTAACCCTATGGCATTTCAACTTACTCTTTATATCAAATGACTTCACTGGGAGGTCTGCCTGCAAGGCAGGTGTGAGTTTGCCTGCTTGCGGGCTGTCTGGGGCACTAGCAGCAGAAGCTGCATTTCTACTCTGTATTTCTTAGTTTCCAGGAGCAACGCCCCTGCTCAAAGAGCCTGACAAACCCCACCAGAAGGGAGATGGCTTTCACACCAGGGAGAAGGCCAAGACACGAACTGGGGAACACGTGCAGAAGGCCCAGGGACACAAACACTCCAGCCCAGAACTGGCCGAGTCTGTACCAGAGTGAGCTCATGGGTCATAGTGACCCACACTTCCTCTTAACATGGCAGCCATTCATGCCTGGCTAGTCTTAGGGCTTTGGCATCCATAGCCTTTTCAGTTGAGGGAAACCTTTACCATTTCCAGGAGACTCTTCGCCATCGTTTGACTGAATTGCACTTCAGGCATCTGGGACCCATGCTTCTGGAAGCAACTGGCATCTGGTGCCACACACCTCTGCACATAGATCCACATCTGTCTTAGCTGGAAATATGATACTCAGTACATATCTACATATAGAAACTCTCAGAAACTACAGGAGAGAAATAGTGTCAGCAAGAACTGTGTAGAAAGAATTGTGTAGAACGAGAAAGAAACGTTAGGTCTGCATTCTGTCACAGACTTGCTATGTGACTTGGCCTCCCTGGTCTTACATTTCTGTGTCCCTGAAGTTGCTAGAACTGTGCCACATGTCTGTAAGTTTCCTCTCTGCCCTAGCAATTTGTGGGCTTACAATTCTCAACATACCTATAGATCCAGTAAAGGTAGGATTTTCCTCTCCAAAACCCCCCTAAAGCCTCAGAAACATAGCAAGGAGCAAGTCTCTGTTTTCCCAGTGAAGAGATACTGCTATGCCCATAATTTTTCCTTACTAAAGATTTCCTGAATAAATAAGGACTGATCATTATCTAGAATCCTCCTCAAATTTTTAAATGACCAGAGCTATAAAATAACCACCCCCTGACCCAGACAGCTCTAGGTTATATTTTTGCCAAGCAATGTGTCTTCCAAGTTTTTTCTGACTCCAAGTAAACTCAGCAGGGCCTACAAAAGAAAGATGCATAAATGTGGAAACCCACCCCCGTTTTCACACTTTAAGGCCAGCCTACTGGGTTAATTGCTTAGTGTGGCTCTCAAGGTCCCCCATGATCTGGTCTCAATCTAACTCACCAAGCATAGTTCCCACCACCTTACCCTTTCTCAACCCCCTGACTGATGCTTCCTCTGTT